CCACACGCAAGAAATACGAACGCGAGGAAATCCTTTAATGCTAGGCGGTAGCGGAGAAAGAGAGAGATCCGTCGCCGCTGTTATTGGCGACACGATGAAGGATACGAAAATATGATTTCGCCGAGCTTCTTCAGAGAACAATCTTTGAGTTACATTTAATGTACATTCACCTGGTCGCACAGGATTGTTTCGGAATTCCTGTTTCGTGACTTTCTTCGTTGAAGAGCTTTCTCTCGTAATGGTTTACGCTTTTGAATCTGTCTGGCAAATGCTCGTGATAACATATCGAATAATAATGCAATATCAGAAAGAGAAAGATATATATTTTTATAAAGCAACGAAAAGAGAATTGAATTCTCTTTGAAGATGATTTCAGCAAATAGAAAAGTGTTTCACCTTTGAAAGGTGTAATAACAATTACTTCCCATACTACTATCAAACTTTTAATTCACCTAATACAAAAACTAATATGATATTAATATGAACCTTTGCCACCATATTTCAACGTTTACTTTCTAATTCCCCTCAAAGAATCACTGACTCAATTTCCACCGCAAAGTTAACATATCTTCCGTCGCGAGAGGCGTATTAATTGAAGAGCACGCCTAAAAAGTTCTACAGATTGCCCATTCTCACCGTGTTTATACCTGAACACGTTTTAGTCGGCATTCCATTTGTCCCCGGTTCAATGAACGCGGCGCTTCGTGATATTTTAAGAGACCCACTCGGCCGTCGTAAACGTCGTCGCGCTGCGATCTCTATTTCCGGGTAAAAGGGTCGAGGATCCGTCCTTAATCTCGATCCGCCGCGGGAACAGTTTGATTTCAGATTGCACGAACGTATTCCCAATTTTCTCCGCACGGATCGATGCCGCCGCCGCGTTCTCGACAATTTAGCGTCTCTCCTCGTCGCATCAGCAAATTAGATTACCCGAGAGCCGGATACCCATTCCTTCTTCCACTTTTTCCGGGATTTTTTCCCCTTTCTGCCTCTCCACCATGGTTCGGTCGCCTTCCTTTCCGCCGCTTCCGTCATTTACCTCGCGCTACAAGGATCACCCCGGATTGGCGGAAAATTAGCGCGTTCTTGGTTTTCCCTCAGATCACCGGGAAATCCTCGCGACAGCGGGATAAATTAGACGCGGATTCTCTCGGCGAGAAACTGGCAGCGAAAGTCTGCAGGCTGAATTGATCAGAAGAGGCACTACGGTGAAAGGATTCTTGATTAACCTATGTTGTAGCTCGTCTGGGTCCGTTGGGATCCTGAGTTTGGCGATTATTATTTTTCGAATCTTTGCATTGTTCATTTGTCTAGCTGGTGTAATATTCTTTAGAAATAAAGGGTAATGAAATAGAAGAATGTAAGTTGAAAATATTTGTGTTAAGGTGTGATTATCACACGTGGACCTTGGACGTTTGAGAAAATTGTTATAATCGAAATATTTGCGGCGATTCGCTGGATATATCCAACATTTGGTTTTTATTATTAACTCTATATCTATATGAGTACCCACATGAACGACGAAACTGGATATTTAATAATTTCGAGTTTACCGAGTTACGTCGTTACTCGCATGAATGATGATACTGATATCAATCATAATTGCGTTTACATTGGATAATGGAACAATTGATGATTTCCAACATTACCAATATTAACAAGTGCATAATTAACCGCGGCAATGGATCTGTTTAATTAGGAGCATTATTCTAAACGTACAGCGTAATGAATCGTTCATGGCTTGGGAATTGTTTTGAAAAATAACTCGCTGAGGTTCCTTGACGATGTATGGTAACAATCGCGTATCATGATAACATGTTTGTATTATATTGTTTGTATTATATTGTTTGTCAATGATTGTATTAGGTATGGAATTACATACAGAAATGGAATCCACAAATTACCATCACACTGGGAAAATGTTATTAGCAACCATGGAAATTGTATTGTTTGGTAAACATGGATAAATGTATTGAGAGTATATCATTTTCTTCTGAATCAAAAACGTGCAGAACTTTTCGGTTGATGATATATTAATCACTTCGTTACAGAAATTCATTTGACGAGCAGTTTCGAAGAATTTCGTCGCTAAAAAGGTTTGTTTGTTTCAAGAACTATTTTATCGTCCGTATTATCAGTACTCTCCCTTTTTCCGGGTCTATTTACATTTCAATTATCCTGTCGAGGGAGGCTCCGCGTCGCCGTTAACGAAGATCAAAATTTACGACGACTCACCCTAGCGAAATACGCTTCCCCGACATTCGTGATCCCGGCCGAGATGGAATGGAGCGATCGTGCGCCCGGAATAACAGCCGATTGCCTGTAACTGGTAATATTACAGACGTAATTTCTCCATCTGCGTTTCCATCGGTGAACGCCATCGCGGCGATCCTCACCTAAATCAGTGGTTCTTAACCGATTCAGCACTGAACAGTTAACTTTCATTTCCGCCACAAATTTTGAGTATATACAGTGTAATAAATACTTATTACAAAATTAGACATATTTTTTGTTCCTTACTTCAAGTGTGTTTCGTATAAATTATTCTGGCGAATGAGTAGTCGAATGATCAACTGTTATTTTGCAAGTTTCTTACAAATGTTTCGTAGAATCACAGAAGCTCACTGGAAATTTTGTACAGAAAAAATAGACGTGTTGACTCTACAAGCTCATGAATATATTTCTAAATTTAACACTTATGTATGCGTAATACATAATCTTCAATGAAAGATAACTAGATCTTTATTTTCATAGTTAAACACATATCATTGACAATGTTACCGTTTCTGAAATTCTTTTCTTAATCAGAAATCTTCCGTGACTTGAGGAACCTTAAGAACCACTGCCCCAGATAATACCAGAGTAAGATTTTCGAGAAGAGACGTGGAGCAGGAGATAACGTAAATTTACTGTCCGGTTGTTTTCGATTCTCCCGGCGATCCTCGTCGGGATATCTAACTTCGTTTTAATAAATGCAACGAAGAGAGAGAGAGAGAGAGAGAGAGAGAAAGAGAGAGAGAGACAGAGGTATGCTCGCGGTTTATCAAGGGAGAAGAATAATCCTTTTGATGCCTTTGACTGAAAAAGAGAGGAGGGCGACGTAACAGTCGCTTTATGAAGCAACGCGAAGCTTTCGCCTCGAAACTTTCCTTATCATATCCCCTCGGGGATATCGCGGCCGTCTCTCTCTTCCACGCATTCGTTATCGGTAATCCAGTGCTCCCTTACCGTTATCGGATACGCCGTAATAGAAATGAAATAGATTGAAAGTTTAAGCATGAAAAGAACTTCGGGACGGTCCGGACTTCGCGGGATTCCGCCTGACGACGGACACCGACGCTTATGAAGTTATTTCGCGGACGTTTGGAAGATACGCGTGTAATCAGGGATTTTTATGGTGAAATTTTGGGAAGTTTCGGGAATCGCGGAGAATAGATAAATGAGAGGAATGAGGAGGAACATGTTCGAATGGAAATGGTGTAGTAATTCTTTATGCTGGATTTTTATTGCAAGTGTAAGTGATTGAATATGGGCGTTTTTCTAGATTCGAATTTTAAATTTCGTATTGCAAATTTCAAATTTTACATTTCAAACTTCAAATTTTAATGAATGTACTATTCAGATTTCACATTCCAAACTTCAAATTTTAATGAATGTAGTATTCAGATTTCACATTTCAAACTTCTAATTTCAATGAATCTACTGTTCAAATTTCAAATTTCAAACGCGAATTCAACTCACATTAGAAAATATCTTTAACGCAAGGAAAGCTCGGCAAAATCAACAAAGACAGTAACTTAATTAGTTGCAAAAAAAAACGGTAACATTTCTAACGGAGACGTTATTAAATTACATTGTCTAATGGAATAATTGAATTAACCGCGAGCTTAAACGGAAACTGCAGAGAATCTGCGCTTGAATTTCTGCGGACGCGAGCAAGTAGCTTTTGACACGGACCGACCTTTGCCGGATACGCTGCGCAGATAATCGTGCAAGGCGCGTCTGTAGAAGTGCACAGGGATAAGTCAGCCGGCGTTGTGCAAACTGCAACAACTGTTAACTGCATCGACGGCGAACTTCTCTCGTAGTAAAACGCATAAATAATGGAAACTTCGCCGCGGCAGATAATAGAGCGAGCTAAATGTGTTTCCGCGTTGCCGGTGACAATAGATAACCGTGTAACCGTGCAAGGAGAAATGCATCGCATAAGTCAGACAGCCGCGTGTTCTACTGGCCACAGCTTCGATTAAGTTTACTTGTTACTCGCAGATAGTAAACAGTGAAGACATTACTAATATTCTACTACTATAACCATCTTTTCTTCTCTCCATCAATAATCTAAACTTTTGATTGACTTGCAAATAAAACAGACACAAAATTTCAATAATGAGAAAAAATGAAATTTCTGTTACTCTATAATTTAGTATTTCTTCGTTTCTTTCAATTCTTGACTATTGCTCGTTTATATTAAAAAATATAATACTTGAATATATATATATAATTTTTTAATGCTATTTTTTATAGCAAACTGTTTTGATAGTTTGAGTGAAATCATAAAATCATCGTAGTTTTAAATTTTCAACAACGATTTTATCTTTCTAGTGACTTGTATTTTTTCATAAATATTTAATTCCTTTTTCGAAAATTCCTATCAGCTTTCAAGAATGATCCAGTTCGAAGAATCATTATTAAAAGATTCCAAAATAACTCCGAGTCCGTTTAAACGAAGCGATCCATCGTTCCACAAGGACCCGCGCTGGGAATGCAATTTTCCATAGCGGTACCTGTCGGAGCCGACCAGTCCCCGTGGAGGGAAAGGACGAAGAATTCCCGCGGAAGGCTGCGGAACGGTGGAAATTTATCGCGCGACTCATTTCGGACCCCGGAATAAATGGACACTTGTCCGTGAGCGATGCAAGCTTGCGGGAAAAGACGTGGCTCCCACGGTTTATCGCTGAGACAAACAGACCGATTAAAACAGAAATAAACGGTTCACTTACCGGCGCTGCGCGCGACTCGTAAAGCCGTCTAAGTGTCCATCCAGCGCCGCTAGACGTGTCAGACATGAGAAATAATCCGTGGATTTCCCTTCTGCTCTTCTCGCTCGGCCAGTTGAAAATTAAGTGCCCTTTGAGGCGCGAGATTTTTTATCTCAGCGTGTCCTACGACCAAAGAGAATTTGTTATTTAAATAAAAAACTAAGAAATGATTGGTGTAGGAAGTGTAATTCCGAATTAAAATTGCAATTTGTTAGATAATCCAGATATCATGTGATATAGTGTCGCGCCTTAGATAGATTAATATAGTATATATTTGAAGTTGGATTTCATAATTGGAGAACACCTGATCGATACCCTCGTAACTCAATTAAAAATCCCTCAAAACGTTTGCTCAGCACTGTATTTCTCTGTTAATTCCTCGAATATTAACACAACGCTGGTGTTTATTCAGTTCTACAAATACGGAGTCGTTGATTCCACCGCGTGTCATTATATTCAGGATAATTTCCGATCGTTTATCGCGATTCCCGTTTATGCTTCATCATCTTCTGTGTATCTTTAAACAGTCCACCGAATCATAGCGAGTGTACCGGAGATTTAATCAGTATCGTTACGAGAAAAGTTATACCCTTTCCCGGCTGTGTGCTCCACTAATATTGACGTTAGATCAGGCTACAATTCATTCGGCGCGTTTATATCGAATATCCTCGGAGGTGACAGACTAAGCTTGTTTTACGACGACGGACAAAGAACGTGAAGTGGCGTGGATGTTGTTGACACGCCGATCGGTCAACGCCGGCGACGAAAATCCTCCAATAAAACTTCCGTCGGCGGATTTATTTCATTGGTTTATCGATTAAAAATATTTCGAGCAAGTCCTTCTTCTTTCCGCTCAAATAAGCTTGTCATAATCGAGGAATATCGTCGAAGTCGTGTCGCGAGGGTATTTTCCGGTGTGGGATAGACGCGTCGAGGATCACTCGTTTCCGGTAAATAGAAGGTATAGCTATCAGCTAGGCTTTATCGCAATACGAGCCATCTTTGTCCGGTAAATAAGTGTGCACTCGCCGTTATGGTCAGTCATCGAAATTTCTAACGGCTGATTTTATTATACGCGTTTAACGATCATTACAATGCTGATTTAATAGAACCGTCGCTTTTCGAGTTACGTGAATAAAGTTTTCCACTTGTTTTCATATCAAGTTGGTGCTCAGATTTTGTAATAATTTTATTCGCAGTTTTCCTGCGATACTATACTGAACGTGGAATTAAATTAACGGCACGTGAAATTATGGTAATACAGTGTGAAGGTTTTTAGATACGTAAATCTTTCGTGTTATATTTTGGAAGTGGTGGAATATATTTTTGTAATTCTAGATTAGATTGTGAATGAATTAAAAACGTATGTTACTTATCTTCACTTCTCAATCATTTCATTATAATAATACATAAATACAAAAATATAACTATAATATAACGAAAAAAGAACATAGTGATAACAGAATATTTTTCATTATGTCGTATCCTGAAACTGGCTTATAATTTTATTCGATTGAAAGAACGTGAAGTAAAAAATGAACCATTGCCGGTAAATGGAGAGTAAACCGAAATTTCCAACGACCTGTTCTATTATACTCGCCCCTGCCAATTGTTATTATACCGATTTAGTATCTAATCGTTACTTGAGCACACGCGGCGCACCAGCTGAATTGACGGCAATCGATATAATTATAAGCTCCTCCGCTATCCGAGCAAGGAGGAACTAATTACCGATCGATGTTTCAGCAACTTCCAGCTAGTAGATGGTAGCTTCAGGGAATTTGTCCTACGAGTGTGTATTCTACGTAGAATACTGTGAACCGCCAATTAGAGTGATATTCTTGGTTTCCGGAAAATTCTATGGGCGAAGCTTTTCGCATTTAGAAGAGACCGAATGGATAGTTTAATTACATTGGAGCGCTGTCGTCACTGTTAATTAGTATAATGTTCCTTCTGCGGCTTCCAGTTACTTGGGCATGAAATGTACAATCTTTTACTTTCATTATCGGTGAACGGGAGATATTACTGGATTTATTATCGGAAGAAGTTTAATGAATAGTATTTTACATTGGATGTCTGTGGCGGTAATATATTGAATTATTACACAATATTAAATTACTCCACAGGACATTCAATATATTACATCTCTATTGTGATTTATATCCAAAAGATTCTCATCGAACGTACAGCTTTACTAAATCAAAAATATCACTTAAAAAATAAAAAGCGTCAGAAAAAGATGGTGATGTGCACCGACAATTTATGCGTTATTGGAAGTATCAGTCGCGTCGCGTGTTAAATAAACATTACCACCGGGACAGAAAAGAAAGGGGGAATATTATTCACTGGTATTTTATTAACAGTCCGATGTCCATTATTTAATGCAACGACAGAGCGTTATTTTATTTCGTGCCAGCGATATTCCTGGCTGCGAGAGTTCGACTGTACATTAATTCGCTCGTGACAAATATTTCCAGCGCGACGAACGAGTTACCATGTTACCCGTTGTTCTATGATTTCTTTAACAATAAAATGTGCTCGATAAAACTGGCTCACCGTCGATAATTCATTAGAACATAAAGAATTTGACACTTATTCTATGATTACGTTTACTGTATAAATTAACGATTGTAGACGGTTCGCCCTTTCGCGTGTCAATACTTGGGTGCCTGAGAGATAGTCCAGGCCCATTGACAAATTTATGACCAAGGGGACCACCAGGACCTGGGTCACGTACGCCCTCGTCTGAAGAGTTTTCCTTTTTAGAAAAGCAATTGAGGAAAAGCAGTTAGTCGCCGTTCCTCGTTAGAGCCACATCGCGTAATAAATATATTTAACCTAACTACGGACTTAGTTTTTATTTTAGTAGCTCTACACGATCAATAACAGAAAATTCATATACACAATAAAACTTCATTTATAGTGAACACGACAATTTCTATAATCAAGTAGTTCATATAACAGAGTCCCTCTAATCATTATAAAACTAATGACAACGTGGTATTTGCAATTTATGGAACAATAATTGATAATACCTACAACTAGTAATACGTTATTAATAATATGTAATAACATAATTTCGTTTGTAAACGTAGTTCGTGTAACTAGATCCACCATTATACCTTAGTTTACAAGGGAGCTCCGAGTTTATGTACTTGGAACTACAAAGTAGTTCATACAAGTAGAGTTCTACCGTAACTCATATTCAAAAGAAGCAAATAACATACACGTTCCCGAAATACAATAAAAAAATGTATCTCACGAATCGTCAAGATGTCACGGTGCAAGGGGTTACGATGAAATGAAATGGGCGAAACCGAACGCAACAGCGACCGGGGAAGTGGTCGATCGGTGGGAATCGATCACGGCCGAGGTCTTCGTTCCGCGTGTCCGATAAAAACTTTCTCAACGACCCTTTCCGGCCCAGCATTCTACTTCACGTCTTCCCTCTCCTTTTGTTCTTCTACAATATCTTTTATACCACGACCTCGTTTCCTCGAAGAGCCTCGTAGAGTGATGGTGAACAGGAAAGCTGCGGGAAAGACGGAGAGGACCGAGGGAACGCGAGAAAGGGGGAAAGAGAGGTCGCAGCGAACAGCTGAAACATTAAATTCTAAATGAAAAGGCAGCGGCGAGCAGGATTTCGGAATTTCAGGTCGACGGGCGGCGGTGGGGAGGAGGGAGTGCGAGCAAAAGGGGGAAAAATGAGCGGAAGAAGAGAGGAAGCCGAGGAACGAGGAAAGGGGCAGGTGTAAAAGCGAAGCTGTAAAACGTGGCCAGAATCTCCTGGTTGAGTCACTGGGCATTCAGACAGCGTCGGAGAGCGGGAGAGAGCGAGAGAAAGAAGAGAATTATTCGAAACTACTCGACGAGATCTGGCGGTTAATTCGACGTTCAAGCGCAAATGAAGTTTCACGAGTGACGCGTGCGCCTCGTCGGAAGGGGTGAGGAAAAAGGGACTTGTTAAAACACTATGACGCCCGGTACGTCTCGCCAGGTGACACGCTACGGACACGGGTCACGACGGGTTTCAGTGAACTCGAAAGAGGAGTAAAAAGGACCTTGATGTTTTACTTTTCACCCTCGTGCCGCTTCGCCGAGCGGCCGCGCTGAATCCTGATCGCCTCGTCGAGTGACTATCAATTTGCCGTGAAACGTACCTGGCTACGCTAGCGTTTTCAGGAATTTATATCTTATGGTTGTTCGTTCGTGTGTGCAGACGTGTGCGATGATGTGATGGGAATGTGCAGCAGGGTTCTCCGGTGGATGAGGAGATCGGTTAGAATATACTAAAGCCTATGTGACGTGGCCTCAGTTATTGATTATAATTTTTGTGAATAAACTTCAATCGATATTCGAATATTTTTGTATAAATACCTGTTTGTAGATCTATTATCAAGCTGTGTTGTTAGTTCTTCATTATTTGTTGAAAATTGGAAATACTTGAGAACTGGGAAAGTGGAGTTGCAATGAAAATAGTTTTTCTTGAAAAATATGGAAGGTGTTAGATTTTGGATATTTTAAACATTCTTTCGTGTCGTATGCGTTTTGTACACTCTCAGGTTTCGTATCAATGCATAAAATTATGCAGTCTATTGATTGTGTATTTATGTATTAATTGAAGTATATGATGAAAGCTATGTAATATGGAATTATACTTATAATATAATTACGAAGTGTAAAGAGAATTTTATGTTTACGATGAACGTGTTTATATTGTATGATTATTGAATTGTGGATTATAAATGGAACAATTTGCTGGAATATATTAGGGCAGGTATATGTAAGGTAGACAATCGAACGTTTTAAACTTTAAACTATTCGTTTGTGCAGTTATAAATACAGGAGATATTTACGTAATCCCTTTGCAGAGCTAAATCAATATATACATATATTTACTGGAACGCGTTTATTCCTCGATCTATTCTCGGTCACCGTCGACCAAACACTAATCTTGGTGCTCGACCGATTCTCTAGTTGCTTTCCTCTCATTACTCGTCCAACTACGTGCATTGTAGTGTTTCTTATTTACAATCGGTTGCTCGTTATAACAACAATCCGCATAATAAGTTAAATTATTATCTATAGATCATTACAACAGTAACGTGCAATACTCTATTTCT